GCTGGTATTAGTGGTAGTTCATGATTTTCACTATTGACAGGTGGTGGTGGTAGCTCATCTACTCTGAGTGTAGTGAAAGAAGAATATTCATCATCTGATAAGACACTAACACCAACTGATGGTAGACCTGATAATGATGATACAATCAAATCAAGACGTGATTTAAAATCAAGAGATAATTTAATCAAATCAAGATGTGATTCAAGACATGATACAATGATTCCATCATATTATGATGAGCTAGCTACTGCAAGCAATAATGGTAATAACTATTGATAACTATTACTAACTATTACTAACTATTACTAACTGTTACTAACTATTACTAACTATTACTAACTATTACTAACTGTTACTAACTATTACTAACTATTACTAACTATTACTAACTATAGATGAATACATTACTTCTAACATTGGTTCAAGGACTCCATTTCCTTATCATCTACTAGCTGACACCTCAGGATCAGGTCCTCGTAAAACATCAGGTAACATACAACAATACATGCATACAATACACATACATACATTGATAATACACACACATATAATCAATTCAATAGATTGATTGATTGCAAATGATGTTTAGGTATTGACAGTGGACATGAAGGAGAGAGTGAGGAGAGTGAGAGCAGCAGTGAGGAGGAGGAGGAGAGAGAAGAACAAGAGGAGACAGAAGAACTAAGATGGAAGAAAGGGAAACTACTAGGAAGAGGAGCTTATGGAAAAGTATATACAATATTGTTGTTATTATTGTTTAATGTCATTATTGTTTGTTGTTATTGTTTGTTATTATTGTTTCATTAGGTTTATGAAGGATTGTTGGATACTGCCAGGTTAATAGCAGTGAAAGAAGTTGAACTGGAAGTTGAAGACAATGAGAAAGCACTTGTTGTAAGAAATGATATACGTATTAGTTAAAGCACTGTTGAGAGTAGGTTACAGAAATTATTGCATGAGGGGCAGTCGAGAGGAAAATGGAGCATGAGGCAAAGCCAAGTGCTACATTTTTGTCAAGACCATCCCGAGTGCAATAATTTCCTGTAATCTATGAATCAACAGTGCTTTGATTGGTTTGTGGTGGTGCGTGGGCGGATCAAATTTCATTTCAAAAGTCAGGCAGGTGGCCATCGCAAGGCAATCAACTGGCGGTGCCTTTGACCCGCCCACACATCATATGATAACACTGTCACATAGCCTGTATCTGATACTGCATGATACACCATTAACACATAGCCTGTATCTGATACTGCATGATATACCATTAACACATGCACTCTATTGTATGACCTGCAGCAATTCAAAAAGATACAGTTAGAAGTTGACATATTGAGAAGTCTCTCACATAAGAACATTGTACAGTATCTTGGGACATCAATTAATGAAACTATAGTCTATATATTCATGGAATATATCACAGGAGGATCACTCCAGAGTATACTGAAAAGGTATCAGTATATTATTGGTATATTGTTGGTATATTATTGGTATATTGATGTATGTTATTGGTATATTGTTGCTAGGTTTGGATCCCTTAATGAAAAGACTATAGTTCGCTATGTTAGACAAATGGGGCGTGGCTTAAACTATTTACATAATAATGGAGTCATACACAGAGACATCAAAGGAGCCAATGTGATGGTATCAGCTCACGGGACAGTCAAACTCATTGACTTTGGGTGTGCCAAGAGACACTGTCTGGTATGATAATTAATATTTATTATTATCAATTAATTAATTAATTAGGATCAAAGTTTGGGGTTTCATTCAGTGAGAGGTACTCCGTACTGGATGGCACCTGAAGTTATTTGTGGGCGTGGCTACGGCAGAAAATCAGACATTTGGTGAGTAAAATATTAATTAACCACTCATCAATAACCAGTTTATATTAATTAATTGTACAGGAGTTTAGGATGTACTATGTATGAAATGATATTCACCAGACCCCCCTGGGGAGACTTACCCCCTGAGGCAGCAATGTTTAAAATAGGACTGGGTCAATCACTACCTCCACTGCCTAAGAACAGCTCAATGGAACTGATATCACTCTACACTGCCTGTCTGAAAAGGTATTACCTATCATTATCATTAGTAATAATATTGTTATTATAATAATGCAGTGACCCAGGTCAAAGGCCAACAGCTCAAGAAGTGCTTGATCATGCTTTTTTACAAAAAAAATAATTAATAATTATAATACATTAATATAACAATAATAGCACTATCACTTAACTGATAATTATTAAAGTTTATTAATTAACCAGTCATAATCTTTGTATTCAATATTTATATTACTGACGTCATTCAATAAATAATTAATATCTTTATTATCGTCCAAATAATTACTGACCCAAGCCAACAGTTCCTCTACTGTTGATCCAAAATCTTTGAAATACCACAAGAACAATTTTGATAGAGTAACCTGCAATGTTAATTAATCAACTAATAAATAACATTATTAATTAATCACTTTTCTATTTGCTACATCTATTACAACTTCTTGCGAACAGAAATTTCTTGTCGCTCCATTTAATGCCCGCTCCAATTTATTAGCAGAATATACTTGTATAGCTGGACACGACTACAACAAACAATAAACAAACAATAAACAAACAATAAACAACAATAAACAAACAATAAACAAACAATAAACAACAATAAACAAACAATAATTAACTAACTTTAGCTCCACAAACAAGAGCAAAGTGGAGTCTCGGGTCAAAGGAGCTTAAAGATAATTTCAAACGCTCATCAGTTGATGAAAAAAGGGGTGTGGTTTCATCAGAGGGGTGTGGCCTGTTGCACCTTAATATGCCGTGTTCAATATCATCAAGTGATAATATATAGCCACCTATAAACATTAATAATTAATTATTAGTGAATTGGTAAGTACCAATGTTGTAGCAGGTATTCCTCCAGAATCCTTTCATTTCCAGTACAGAGGATGGTAACACATCAGCATCAACCAATCCATGAATAGTCAATGAATTATACACATCTAATGACAATAGTTAATGATACACACATGATGTAACTATCAGAAAATGTAATAAAAATGAGGAATTCTTTTCCTTTCAATTTTGGTCAAAGTCCCTGTACTATAGTACAGGGACTTTTTTGTCCAAGTTTGGAGAAACTTATAAAAATTTGTAAAAAAATCCAAACTTGATCGGAATCAACTCAAGCTTGCTACACAAGACAAGTACATGTACATGCAGCACCTATTGGGTAGTTCTTACTTATAAAGAATGCTTTTCTTTGCTCTTCATTGCTCTCCTTCATCACGTCAACGGTAGTTAGTGTCTTTGCTATTTCTCTGTATCTGTTGAATTCTTCACTCTCTTTTATTCTCCCATAGTCTACTCCTCTGCCATCAGGTGAAAGGTACAATCCTTTTAACTGAAGCATGCTGCTTTGTAACTGGATACCAATACTCTCTAATGAAGCTCCACCCACTGACACACCCACTCCCATACTCTCGTTAAGGATTTTTCTCTCCGACATTACCTGTAACATTACATGTACAGTAATCGTGCATATTCATGTACGTCCGTATGGTACAAAACCACGCCCAACTCTCACTTTATATTCCTTGCTGCTTCCTTGAGCCTCTGAGACTCCTCCCAGTTCCTTTGTCTTCTTTCCAAGTATTCCTCCTGGAGGCACTTGTTCAAGTCTCTCTTGAGCTGGTTACAGACCCCCAGGTACTTCCTCAACGGATTCTCCTTGTGACACTTGAGCAGTTCCTCAATGACAGCACGACAGTCCAGGGAGTGCAAGTGACCGTCCAATGGAGGATGCATTAGACCGTATTAGATTTTAAAATAGTAATCTACTCTATTTAAAAGGATGGGAAATGTTTTTACAGTATGTACTCTAATTGTAAGAAAAATTGTGGGAAATATTTTCCATCCAAAGAAGAGATCAAGAGAAGACTGCACCAGGTGTGATCTCCCCCCCCTCTCTCTTTCTCTCTCTCTCTCTCCTTCCTTCCTTCATTCATTCATTCATTATCATTGTTCCTTGTAGTGTGTGATGGATAAGATAAAGCAGAAGCTGAAGGGAGCGTTCAAAGGAGAGGAGGAGGAGGATCAATCATTTGACAGGGAACTGGAAGAAGAGCCAGTACGAATAGGAGGGGGCGGGACAGGGGGAGGAGTCTCATTCTCAGAGGAATCTGGAGAGGAGCCTCGTAGGAAGCCGAGGTTTGCCGATGAACCAAGCGACCAACCAGTACCAGAGAGGAAGGAGAGGAAACCAAGGTTTGCCGATGAAGATGATGGAGGAGGAGGAGGAGGTAAGACAAGGGAATATGTGGTGATGATGGTTAATTAATAATAATGTGTTTGATTATTATTATTGGCAACAACAACTTGTTAGTTTACTAGAGATTACTATATTAGCAAAGATTACTAACAGTATACTGATTACTGTTGTAGGTGTTCGGTTTGACACATCATCTCCAAGTATTGAAAAAAAGAAAAGCAAAGCAAAGAAAGGAGTGAGTCCACTGTTGCTCTTGTTGTTGTTTACTTCTTGTTGTTGTTGTTTACAGAAAGGTGTTACTTTGATGGTTCCGGAAGGAGAAGGTGAGAAACCTAAACCGGGTGGAGTCAAGGGAAAGGACAAGAAATCAGTTCAAGCACCAACTGCAGTAAACCACACCCACTGAGCCACACCTACCTATTGCTACTCTAGGACATTAAGAAGAAGATCAGCAAATGCAAAGAAGAAAAGTCCATCATCTTAGATCTCTCAAAATCTGATGTGAGCTAATTATTATCAATAATAATTAATTAATTATATTAATTAATTATAGATAGCTGTTCTTCCTGGTAATATAAAAGAGGTGGGTATATTAATTAATTAATTAATTAATTAATTGATTGATTGATTGCTTCCCCTCAGGTCTCGTTCATAGAGGAACTGTATCTCTATGGCAACCGTGTATCAACCCTCCCGCCTGAGGTTGGGAATTTAAAGAAGTTAAGGAAACTGGCATTGAATGAGAACATGTTGACTGATCTACCTAGTGAGCTATTGGTGGGTGTGGTCAGTTAATTAATGTGTTCATTAGATGAGCTAAAGCAGTGTGTTAGTCTATCAGTTCTTGATTTACGTCACAATAAGCTGAGAGAAGTCCCTCCTGTGGTCTGTGAGCTGGCATCGTTACAGACCCTCTACTTGAGGTTTAATAAAATAGTTTCTGTTAATCCTGCAATTGGGAATTTAAGGGTAAGTGTTTTTTATTTTACTTTATTTATTTATTTATTTTATAGAATTTGACTTCTTTGATTTTACGTGAAAACAAGATTCGTGATTTGCCCTCAACTATTGGCTCCTTAACCAGGCTCACTGCTCTTGATGTCTCTCACAATCATTTGGAGAGTCTACCTGACGGTAATTAACTAGTGGGTGGGGCCTTATATTATTATTATTATTATTGATAGAGATTGCTAACTGCAGTCAGCTCTCATTCCTTCAACTGCAACACAATGACCTAACAGAGTTACCTGTTGCTATTGGCAACTTGAAGTCCCTCAAGAGGCTAGGGCTCCAGTATAACCAGCTCTCTGAACTCCCTCCATCTTTATGTAGCTGCACTGAACTCAATGAGATAGGGCTAGAGTCCAACACACTGACATCACTTCCTGTTTGTGTTTATCTCTTTGTTTATTTATTTGTTTGTTTGTTTGTAGGATCAGTTGTTTGGATCTGTCACCAAGATGTCCAATATCCAGTTAAGCAGGAACAGTTTCACCAGTTTCCCTATATCAGATCCCTCCCATCTTGTCAGTGTTAATGTGAGTCTATCCACCCACACACTAACCTCTCAGGAGGTCTAAAAGATGATGATGCTATACAGTATCAACTTGTTACATTCTACATAATTAACACCTCTCTCTCTCTCTCTCTCTCTCTCTCTCTCTCTCAGTCACTAATGATTGAACATAATCATATCACTAAAGTTCCTCTTGGAATATTCTCTCAAGCAACTGAACTGGTTAGTTATTAATGCTCCATTCCTCTTGACCACACCCTCTCCTCTTTAGACTCAGCTTAGTCTGAGAGACAATCAAATAACTACACTGCCACTAGGTAACAACTGTTACTAATAATAGAACAATGTTACTAATAATAGAAGCAGGTGTATCAGTATATTTATATTTATAGATTTTGGTACTTGGGTGACATTGACTGAGCTTAATCTTGGGACCAATCAGTTGTCTTCAATACCTGAGGAGATTCAGGAACTGACAAGATTAGAAATACTAGTACTGGCCAATAACACCATTAGGGTGAGTCTATTCATGTATTATTATTATTATTATTATTATTATTATTATTATTATTATTATTATTGTGGCTCCTCCCACTACAGACGCTGCCTAAAGGAATATCAGCTTTGCGTAACTTGAAGGAACTTGATCTTGAAGGGAATAAACTGGAATATCTGGCAACAGAAATAAGTACATCATCATTAATTTATTATTATTATTATTGTTAACGATTCTTTCATTAGGTTACCTGAGGGAACTGACTAAGTTAAATGTTCAGTCGAACAGGATTACTAATCTGCCACGAGGCCTGGGGTAAGTGATGTACCTTAGCACCTTCTCCTTTTCCTCTAGCACCTGTTCAATACGTTATGTTATGTGTACACCTTCTTTTATTATAGTCTATTGGTTAATCTGAAGCACCTCAGTGCCGGAGAGAACAACCTCCTTGAGATACCGGCAGAGATAGGGACCTTAGAGAACCTTGAGGAACTCTATCTCAACGATAACCCCAACCTTCAGTTCCTCCCTTACGAGCTAGCCCTTTGCAAGAGACTAGCCCTCATGTCCGTTGAAGGTTGTCCCCTAAGCAGACTCCCTCCTCATGTTGTGGACGGAGGCCCTTCTGCTATTATACAGGTACGTTCAATCGACCAATCAGATTACAATATTCTTTTATGTAGCATCTCAAGTTTCAAGGTCCTTATCGCGGGCTGAGGTGATTGACCACACCCACTTGATATAATTAATTGAGTGTTATTAATAGTTAATTAATCATTGATATCTTATGATCAACTTTTCTATCATTTTGTTTAATTAATTATTTCATTTTATTAATTAACTTACAGTCATTGTGTTATCATTACATTTGAGTGTTTACATTTAATTATTAATCTAATTATTATTGACTATTAATTAACTCTTTTTTGATTTTTAATTTCAATAACACAATTAATTGAATTAACAGTAGTTCTGATGCTGAGTTTACCAGATTATGATTAGTAACTAATACCCAAATTAATAGGAAATAAAAGCAAACCAAAATTATTATTATTTGACTTATTTTTGTGATTATGGTTACTTTTTATTATCATTACTGTAGTAGATTAGTAGGATACTCTTTATCAATTATGTACTAAAATTGGATATTATTATTATTATTATTAATATTATTATTATTGTGAAGAACACATTGTTTTTTTAACTTCCTTCACAACTAATTCTTCATATTTCTTCATCACATCACTGAAATGAGCATTCTCCCATACATGGTCTTTCCCTTCCTTCTCTCCCCTATAATGGTGACAGGCTACACTCTCAGATGGTAGTTTGATGCCCCTGGCTCCTCTCACAGTGTTTGCACCATGAACCTGGACTAGTCTCGTCAGGACTGGCTTTATTATGACCTTTGGATGATCCCAAGCTTTATTTTCTCTCAAGGTTTTCTTAAAATAAAAAGGAATTTTTACTTTAGGACAGAGTTTCTCGTGTCCAGAGAAATGTTGAGATTCGTTGAAGTTAGTATGCCACCTGAGGCCGTATAAAAGAAAGGTACCTATCTTGTTAAAATCAGAGTGTTTCTTGGATAATTCATTAAACATGTCATCCCATGTCTTGTGTTCAGAAGATATTACTATTTCATCCAAATCATAAGTAGCTACATATTCAGCATTGTATAGGAAGTGGTAGTGACACTCTGTCATCACTCCGGATTGTCCAAAGTCCCTCGTTCTCTTGTTTAGGTGCCAGTCAAACAGATCCAATGTCCCATCTCTCACATAGCGACCCACGGCCTCTGGAATTGACTCTGATACATTTTCCAAATACACTAACATCTTCTGAATGCCTAGTGCCTTGTGTATTTCAACCCAATCAACTAACATCTGAGGATCACTGATACCAAACAATGCTTTATGAATGCACACTCCATATTTCACCCTTTGCACACTTTTGGACGATACCTCTCTACTATTCCATCGTACGGGTATACTGACCGATAGACCAGAGTTGCACTTATGGTCACTGGTAACCTGTACACTGGAGGGGGCCTCGTCTCGTAGCTGTCCTTTGGTACGGAGGACACGATTCACGTATACCTCAGGTAGGTTGTGGTTTAGATCAAGATGGCCACTTTGGAGCCAGTACTCAAGAGGGAGACATATTGAGGGAATGTCTTTGTAGTTTATCTTAGCAAATAAAGATGGTTTCTTCTTTTTTTCATTGTGCATTAATATAAGAACTAGGAATGGGCCATCACTGGGAAACCTGTCATCAATGTAAGCCATTCTTCTTATCTGTAGTGGAGGGAAAGATTTGAGATTATTATTATCAGTTGTCTTTGCTTACAAGAGTGTCTTCATTTTGAGATACGTCCACCCACAAGTCTTTTCTGTTGGCTGGATGAGTGAAAGGGTGAGGAACGGACTGAGGAGGTTCATTGCCAAGAGTAGCAGCTGAGGTTGATCCGCTGGGGGCCTCAGTCTGCCCGCTAGGAGTGAAGGTAGATGGTAGACTAAAAGTATTTTCTTTATTTCTTCCTACAGGATCACCAGTGAAAAGGAACCAATACCCGCCAATGAGAAACAAGAAAGACACAGCAACAACTACCAGTACCCGAGTGGTTCTTTGCATGTTGAAGGGAGTGGTTAGTTATTAATAGTTAATAAAATAATAGTTATACTAGTTAAAATTATTAAAATTAATAAAACTGTGTTTAATTAAAACAGTTAATTAAAAGTCCTCCCACGCAAAGAGAGAGCCAATGAAGAGAATGAAACAGACAATGAAGTCAACAAAATGAGAGGAGAAGGTACTAGCACGGCTAGAGAGAGAGGGAGAGGAGAGGGTAATACTGACTAGACCAAGTCTTACTTTAGTTGAATTGAGTGAGTATTCTCTCCACGTCTCTGTGATTATTGTCTTTTGCTAGATCTAGTGCTGTTTTATTGTCAGAAGTAAGAGCTTTCACATCAGCTCCGTACTGACAGAGCAGTTCAGCTACTTTCTCTCGTCCATTTGAACTGGCATGATGCAATGGAGTCCAGTTAGACTAAAGAACACATTTATTACTTGTTGATCCTCTCCCTCTCCCTCTTACTGTTGTCAGTGCATCAATATTTGCTCCCGAGAGTAAAAGAGTTTGAACAATGTCTAAATGTCCTTCTCTTGATGAATTGTGTAGTGGAGTTTGTTTATTCTACAATTAAAATACAAATAATGATGAAAAGAAACATGTTTATAAATTGAGAAAGAAAGAGAGAGAGAGGTTTGGTTGAATACGTACTTCATCTGTTAGCTCCACATCAGCACCCGACATTAATAAAGTTTGAAGAGCTTCAGTGTGGCCAATCCTAGCAGCAATGTGGAGAGGAGTTTCTTGTTTCTAACAGGAGGAGGAGGAGGAGGAGGAGGAGGAGGAGGAGAGAGGGAGGGATAAGGTGTGGCTGGAATGTGTTCTTAAAGAGTAAACTAACAGTATGTGCCACAGAGTAAACAATACCAACGTATACATTGAAGACAAACATAAAAAACTCTTTAGTATTGGAATCAAATACAGGCTCTTTAGTATTTGAATCAGATCAGTGAAGAGGTAGAAACAATAATGAAAACATGCTGTCTGAGATATCTTTGTAATGTCATATACATGTTCATGGATGTGACATAATGTCATTAATCTCACATGTGTCTCTACGTATATGTACATGTACTTTAAAGGTAGTTAAAGTACTCACCAGTTTCTTGTATTTGTTATAATTGACATCAGCTCCTTTCTTGAGTGCTTTCTGTATCTTATCAAGATCACCTGCTAATGTTGCTGTGACCAAATCATCACCCTAGAGACCAAGGAAGAGGAATGTAATACCTGAATCAGTAGAGGCTGAGATACACTATAACAATCGTTAGCAGAATTACCGGTACCAAATATTACTAGCGTAAATATGATACTATGTAACTAATAGGAAAGGAGAAGAGCAATGGATAGCACAATACAACATGTACATCATCAACACATGTACTACAACCAATGGTGGACTACTACTCTCCCATAGAATTATTATACACACAAAGTTAATAATACTTTTTTACTATATATATGTAATACATAATATAGAGAAACAATCCTCTACTGAATAAGTAGTCTACCACTCGCTCCCTATCTCTCTCTTGTCTAACCGTTTTACTGGAGCCACGACTGGACTTACTGGCCATTCTACGATGAAACTAAGAGAAACAAACCTTTCTACCTCTGGAACTTCTTCTACGCCGAGTCAGTTCAAGGAAGAATAAAAATTAATTAATGCAACCACACCCACTTTAATTAAAATAATCAATCATACAGGATGAGAACAAAAAATGTAAAATTTTATTTTATAATAAAAACTGAACTGCTTGACTGTGTCTGTCCATGGAAATTATTATATTCTCTTTTATTTTTAACATTTACATTTTCTTCTTTGTTCATTCTTATCAAGTCTCAGAGCTGAACGCCTAATAGCTTCCATATCTTGATTCTCCCTCTCCAGGAGGAGACTGGCCAGAGTAGTGTGAGACTGGAGGACATTGTCCCCTGACTTAGCACTGGTCTCTGAAAACAATGCTCTTAATTCCTGAAGAGAAGATAATAATAATGATGATATGTTAGATTATAGAAGTAAATTTTGGGGGACTGAAGGAGACCTAGGGGCTAAGTATGAGAGACCAAAAGTCTCCTAAACTCGGACCCTCTAGATCTAACAGTGATTGTTAGGTTATAAAGGTTAATAATTAATTCTTACAAAAGCCAACTTCTGTCCCTCCTCCTTCTTGACCTGTCGTAGTTCCCTGCAGTCGCACTTATTCCCCATCAACATGAGGACTGGGAGCTCCGTCCTTATGGTAGCCTATTTATAAACCACACCCATTAATTAATTAGCCACACCCACTCACCTTAACAAGGTTGATCCATGCCTTAACACTCTCAAATGTATTTTTAGACGTCACATCATAAACAATGATGAAGGCGTCAGCTCTTTTAAAATAAACAGCAGTTGTTGAATGAAATCTAATTGAAACAGATTAATGGTTGCCTTAAAATCACTTAAAGACTCACCTTTCTTGACCGGCAGTGTCCCACAATTGAAACACTACTGTCTCATCCTGGGCATTAATTAGAGCAGTGCTGTAGTCAAGTCCTAGTGTGCTCCTGGGGGCTGGGAGTGGCTCACTGGTTGGAGAGGAAAGACGTCTTATTATTGATGTCTTCCCTACACCACTGTCACCAAGGATAACCACCTGAAGGAGACTAACGGTATACAGGGAACGTCAGACTAGGACTCACTTTAAAGACCCTAGAGGGTGTGGCATTAGCATCGTATCTATTGGATACAGCCTGTGGTGGGTGTGGTCTCTCCTCTCGAGGAGGAATGAGTTGAGAGAGAGTGAAACCAGAGGAAGTATCGTTGAAATGTACCGGAGTAACAGGAACTGACTCATGGACCTTACTCACCTATTAATAGACACAGTGTTACTAATAATAGACACAGTGTTACTATTAATAGACACAGTGTTACTAATAATAGACACAGGATATCACTTACAGTGTTATATACAATCGAACTATTTGAGTCGTTAGCTCTTCCTTTAAGCTCCTCCTCCTCATTATAATGAGCCAGCAGACCAACCCTCTCCTCCTCAGGGGTTGGAACTGGGGTGGGCGTGGTCTCAATAGGTGTGGCCTCATGGGTAGGGCTAATATTCCTCATAGCTTGTTCCACTTCAACTGCAAGACATGATGAATTGTAATGGAGAGAAGGAGAGATGGAGCCTCTTGGAGATAAGGAAGGGCTATAGTAATAATAACAACAACAATAAATTAATGTGTTTATCCTTACGAAGTGCTTCCCCTCATTATGAATGATTCTGTTGTAGTAATTGATGTCTCAACCAGTGGGTCCTCCCCTGGTAACCATTGCAACTGTTGCTCCCTCTCGTTGCTAGGGTGGGCCCCTGCTATCAGCTGTAGCTGACGTTGAGAAGCACTTAACTGACGATAAGAATCCGACAACTGATCCTTAAGAGTCTGATTCAACTGTATAAAATGGGCATTATATAGAATAATTGACATTATATAGAATAGTATTGATACATTAAGGTGGTACCATGGTAACGTCTCATTACACTAACTAATTTAATTTATAGAATATAATGGTTGCTATGGTCACATCAGGCAGCCAAGATTCCAGCTATCTCATGTACAAGTACATGTACATGAGATATTAATTATAATAAATGTACACTGAACATGTACGTGTACATGTACATGTACATGTACATGTACGTACTGTAATTAGCTCTTGCTTTTCCTTCCTCAGCTCCAGTTCTGCTAGAGTCTTCTCCTCTAGGAAGGTTCTCAGTGTTTGTTCCTTCTCTGACAGTTTCACTATCAGTGCCTCTCTCTCCTCTAAGAGCTCTTGGTAATGAGTACTAATACGGTCAGATACTTCCTGAGACTAGAGGGAGGGAGGGAGGGAGGGAGGGAGGGGTAAAGAGAGAAAGAGGGAGGTAGAGAGAGGGATACCTTCTTCTCTTGTTTATCTCTGGCTTCCATTAGTTGTTCTTGTAGTATATCATCCATTTCATGAGCTTCTCTGCTCTGATCAGTCAACAACCTAACACACACACATACACACACATGTTGTGACATATAACGTGACGTCAAGTGGTTTTAGTGCTTAAATCACTTTCTGATTTTTGATTGAATCGTCTCAACTTCAGTTTGACTCTTCTCAAGGTCAGTCACTACCATTGATAGAAACCCTTCAAACCGATCCAATAGAGAAGGATCCTGCGATGAGAGTTCAGTCCACATAGTCTTTAGTTCTTCATTCCTTGAAGGAGGAGGAGGAGGGAGCGTTGTGTCAGAGTATCAGCTCATTACTAGTCTGTGACCTACTTTGACAAGTGTTCATGAGGATCAATACGTGACATTGCTTTCAGCCACGCCTCCTCGTTAGTGACCCCATCTGATTCGTAGACCAGGACTGTGCCGTTGATATAATTATCAGATACAACAGTGGAACCACTCGAATTATCTAACGAGAGAAAGAGACGTCATTTTGTTTTGTTAATAAAAATAAACACAGAGACTGGTGGGCATTAATTAGAATAACCTACTCATTATGACTAGGTACAGTGTACACCTAGTGACTAATATAATAATAATAATAATAACAATAACAATTAATATTATTAATGATCGTGTGTGTTTATGTATCAGTACAAGATCATGTGAGAAGTGTTGATATTAATATAATGAGACACAATGAATGTAACTGAAAGGAACATGTACTGTACTGTAGGCAAGAGAAGATAATACTGCTGTAGGTGTAGGCCATTTTAATCTCAAGAGGTACACACACACACTGTCTGTATCAAATTAACACAAAGGTCTAATTCAATTATCATATCATAAACTGTTAACTAAAGGTGTCTACCTTTCTTGTTCCTCTCTGGTGTTGATTGGTCCAGCTCATCTCTCAGTAATAATTCACTCACTCGCTCAAGGCCAACACGAAACTCTTCAAATGATAATTTACCATCGGAGCCACGCCCACCACTATCCTGGTCCGTTCCTAAAGCTTCAATCAGTGTGTTCATTAAGAATGTGTCGTCACAGTGACACAACAACTCCTGAATAGAATATGAAACTAATATTATCATCACTGTTAATATTATTATCAATATTATAAGCTGCATGTACATGTATTTGTTATTATTATTATTATTTACGTTTATTGTTATGAATCCATCATTGTCAGTGTCACAGATATCAAATATGTTTCGACAGAAGTCTTCCAGCGCCTCCTCTCTCTCCTCCTCCTCCTCGCCTCCATTGTAACTGTATATTGAGGATACTTCTTCTCTCGTTAATCGACTGCTCGTTGAGGAGCTAGCCCTGGAACTGGGTCTCTCCCCGCCATTACTCCTGAGAGAGTTCCCTCTGCTTAGTGACAGGGACCCACTCCTTTTCTTCTCTTCAGAAACAGAACCAATCTTCTCTGATACTCCACTCATCTTCTTCCCACATGTACATGTATGTGTACAGTAAAGTTAGTTAGTAAACAACTAATAATTAATTAACTTAACTATTTTAATTAATTAACTTCATTCCTGGCAATTCCCGCGCCGTGATTTAAAACTTAAAATGAAATAATAATTATTTTTATAATACATGAAAAGGTGTTTTTATTCTGTTCTTTGTTTCTTTCTTGTTGGTTTATGAAAGTTTTCACTGACTCCGCCTCCTTTAGACTGGAACTTGAGATTAATAGGAGTGACCTCAGTCCAAGGATTATCCAACTGTGAATAACTAGTGGTTAATTAACTATTAATTACTTAACTAACTGTGGTGGTGTCTTGATCTACCAAATGAGTGTATTTTGTACGGCCAGCCATGCCAAAGTTCTTAACCTAGTAATTAAAAAATAAAGAGTAGTGATTTCTCCATTTTAATAATTACTCCTGATGCATGTTACCTGCATGACTTGGGGAAGGATTGATTTGTCAAAGTGATCTTCAAGAGTTGGCTCAGCAAAATTTCTTTTAAAAACTTCATCTTCTTCATCCTGAGAGGACAGAGAGAGATAAATAAAACACTTTTAACAACTGCTCACCAAATAGAAGACTCCCCTGTGGTAGTATTTCTGTAAAAACTTGTAATTTCCTTTCACTTGAGAATTAGTAATGGTTTTAGGATTGCTCTTAAGCCAGGACAGCCTTTGTTCTTCTGACATATTCCTAACCCTCTCCATCTCTTCCCTTTCTTTACGCTGTCTGGAGAGACATAACAACAGAGAGAGAGAGAGAGACTGTCCCTTACTGCTCCAGTTCCTCTCTGTCTCTCTTGATCCTCTGAAGTTCCCTAATCTTCCATGCCTCATACTCCTCCTCCTCATTCTCATTATCAGTATTCACAACCTCCTCTAGCCTATCAACTGGGGGAAACGTACAGGTACATGAAGAATTGGAGACTTTTCATTTTTGACAAAATTGGGACAAATTCCCTGTACTATAGTGCAAGGAATTTGTCCCAATTTTAGAGTAGATTTAAAAATTCATAAGAAATCCAATTTTAATTGGAATGAGTTCAAGCTTTCTGCACAATATAAGAACATGTATATGTATCAGAAAATGTAATAAAAATGGTGAATTCTGTCCTTTTCATTTTTGGCGGAATTTGGCCACAGACCATGTACAACAGTACAGGGACTTTGGTCCAATTTTGGAGTAGCTTTAAAAGTTCCAATTTTTATAAAAATGAGCTCAAAGTTTCTAGTCCATATCAAAAATTCCTCATAATCATTTCCATACCTCCTTGTTCTTGCTGCAGGTCCTCAGTGATTGCTTGTTGTAATAGTCTATTACTTTCTTTCTTTCTTTTCTCCTCCATCACTTTACGTTCCTTCTCCTTCCTTTTATCTTCCTGTTCAAGAGCTCTCTCATCTTTGATGGTCACTCTGTCAGTTCTATTATTAGTAACAAGGTCATGATGTCATACTGATGTCATGTACTTTCTAACAAAAACTGGTTTGAGTCTTAAATCCTGTTCATTATCAGAATCACTGTAATCTTCATATTCTGAGGACTGGGTAATTAATAATAATAATAATAAATGAATTAATAGATTTAATTAATTACTTCTTCACTCTCTTCTTTTTTAATTATTTCTTGTTCATCTTCCTCGGGTCCATCAGCTAATAACTAATCATAATATTATTACTAATTGCAGGGGCATACTCCCCCTCTTACTTCTTCCTGTGTTCTCAGTTTGGCTCTTTCTCTCATCAACTCTCTTCTCCTGTCAATGGCCTAAGGATAAAAATACAATAATTATAATACATTAAAACTATAACTTCATCATTAACATTAAAATTATAAATAAATAAATATAATATTGACTAACTTCATCATCATCATCATCATCATCATCATCTCTACATATAATAAAATCAATTAATAATAATTAATTAATAATAATTAATTGATTAATTACTTTTCTTCATCATCAGACTCCAATAGTATCAATTGTCGTTCCTCGAGGTGTTCCTTCATTGCTTTACGTTGAATAAGCTCCACTTCCTCATCATCACCTTCCTCTCCTGAGACTCCACCCACTCCCTCCTCCTCCTCCTCCTCCTCCTCCTCCTCCGACTCACTCTCACTGTACAACAGCCTCTGCCGGTTGAGCCTAACATTATTATTATTATTATTATTATCATTTTTATTATTATTAGTTATTATTATTAGTTATTCAATTACCTTTCTTGTGCAGTTTCAATATCAATATTATTAATAGTTTGCTTCTCCTCCTCCTCCTCCTCACTCTCTTCATTGGAGTCACTGGAGCTCTCCTCTTGGGCATAGGCTGGTCTCTTTCCAGACACATATCTCGTCACTTTAACCTTCTCCATCCTCAGTTCCCCTATCAGTGTTTATTGCTATTAGTCCTTTTGCTAATGCTCTCTTTACCTTTCTCATTTCGAACTGGAACAGCTCCAGCAGTCGATTGGATTAATGTGTTCTTGGACTCCATTTTGTTTTTGGGTGTGGTTCTATTAATGAACCACCTACTTTCTCCGTATACTCACTCCGTAGACTTTATACTAGTTCAAAGAATGGCCGTTCAAAGTGAAGTCTCTCCTTCTCCTCTCCTCTCTCCCTCCCTCTCTCCTCCTCCTCCAACTGATGAGGATACCTCCTCGCTCATAGCTTTGAGCTCTCACTTTGCTCAAGTAAGTACTGGCCAGTCTCTAGTGAATATAATAATGATCTTTAATATACATTAGGCCACTCCAATAAGATTCATAGTTTCCCATTACAGAGGCGGGCCTGATGCGGGCGGGCGGGTTTGTTCATTTTCATTAAATTTATTCATTATCAGCTGTATAAATTGCTTGTATAATCAATGAAAAACCGCAATAATGAATAGCGATGCGGCCCCATGCGGGCGGGTAATGGGAAACAAGGAATCAAATTGGAGTGGCCTTATTATACTCGTTATTAATTTTTATTTATATTATTTTTAAAAAGGTCCAGTTTAGGTTGAAACAGATCACTAGTTCTCCTCCTCAACTAAGAGAAGTGGGTTCATTATATTATGTTATTATTATTGTTGTTGTTTTATTAATTTATTGACAGTCAGTAAACTATTTGACAGTTATGTTCTTTTATTGAACTATTTTCATTATTAATGTGATTATTAGTTTAAATTAACAGGAACTGCACATCTTATAATAACATTCTATCATTATGAAATCTCTCTCTCCCCCCCCCCTCTCTCTCTCTCTCTCTTAGAAATTGCTTAAGGATCTGGAATTATTTGCATTTCAAGGTTGTCCAATTGAGCTGGTGACTAGTGATGATACTACTGAGGAACATGAGGTGAGAGAGAGGGGGGAGGGTTCATATAGTCTTGGGTCATTAGGTTATGGAGACTGTTAATGTTTTGTGTCTTGTTTTGTCTGTGTATTCAATATGTGTTATGTCTTGTTACCATGGTGACCCACAGGGTTCTAAACAGGAGCAAAGTCTCTCTCACCTCTTGGTTCATCTCCAGTCCCAGATACACTCAAGAGAAACCACACCTACTGGCCACACCCCCTCTGATAATGGAGTCATTGATGAAGTGAAGTATGTCAAATATTTATTTATTTATTTATTTATTTATTTTATTATAGAAAACAGTTTAACACACAATTTGATGATGTTGATAACTCTACTACTAAAAACGTAATTGTAATGTTTATTGTTTGTTGTTGTTTATTGTTTGTTTGTTTGTTGTTGTTTGTTTAGGATGATATGGTGAGACAGTTGGCCAGTCAGGTAAGGTCCATGGAGGAGTACATCAGTACATTGCAGTCTGAATTATTAACCCTCTCGGCAACCAACAACCACAGCAATGATGATAATGAATCAGCTTATAAAGTAACCACACCCACTGTTGAATGACCACACCCACTAATTAAATATTGATTAGGTCACGTGGTGTCAAGGCCCATCGACAGACGAACTGATAGAGTTGCATAAAGCATCATCAGAGGAAAGCATTGTACTCACTGGGCGGAGAGGGGGAGGGGCTAAGACTCACACTGCACTGGATAGAACACTAGCAGTGATGCAACTCCTAACACTATGGTACACTGGGCTATGGTACACTGGGCTATGGTACACTGGGCTATGGTGCACTGGGCTATGGTGCACTGGGCTATGGTACACTGGGCTATGGTACACTGGGCTATGGTACACTGGGCTATGGTACACTGGGCTATGGTGCACTGGGCTTTGGTACACTGGGCTATGGTACACTGGGCTATGGTGCACTGGGCTTTGGTACACTGGGCTATGGTACACTGGGCTATGGTACACTGGGCTATGGTACACTGGGCTATGGTACACTGGGCTATGGTGCACTGGGCATGGTACACTGGGCTATGGTACACTGGGCTATGGTGCACTGGGCTATGGTACACTGGGCTATGGTACACTGGGCTATAGTGCACTGGGCTATGGTGCACTGGGCTATGGTACACTGGGCTATGGTACACTGGGCTATGGTGCACTGGGCTATGGTACACTGGGCTATGGTACACTGGGCTATAGTGCACTGGGCTATGGTGCACTGGGCTATGGTACACTGGGCTATGGTACACTGGGCTATGGTGCACTGGGCTATGGTACACTGGGCTATGGTACACTGGGCTATGGTGCACTGGGCTATGGTACACTGGGCTATGGTACACTGGGCTATGGTACACTGGGCTATGGTACACTGGGCTATGGTGCACTGGGCTATGGTACACTGGGCTATGGTACACTGGGCTATGGTGCACTGGGCTATGGTACACTGGGCTATGGTACACTGGGCTATGGTGCACTGGGCTATGGTACACTGGGCTATGGTACACTGGGCTATGGTGCACTGGGCTATGGTACACTGGGCTATGGTACACTGGGCTATGGTGCACTGGGCTATGGTACACTGGGCTATGGTACACTGGGCTATGGTACACTGGGCTATGGTACACTGGGCTATGGTACACTGGGCTATGGTGCACTGGGCTATGGTACACTGGGCTATGGTACACTGGGCTGTATAATATTATATGTAATTGTGTACTGATAATGGAGGGAAATCTTCAGTAATTGTTTTCCCTCTATGTACTGTATATTGTATTGCTACAGGCAGTGTGGTGGTGTGTTTAATTGTTTGCCTGATTCATCCTCTGAAATGACTAGTAAACCAACTATACCATCACCGTAAGCCATACCCCTAATTAATATTCATTACTGGTCACACCCACTAATTAATACAGGTCAGCACTGAGGGGATTGGAACTATCAGTTGATAAAATATCAATAATAGCAACAACACTGTCCCAACCAACCACTGACGTTCACTCTGTAAGTCCACATAATGGACACTCTCTATAGCATACACATCCATTTAACAGACAGCACCTAGTGTACCAATTACATTCCTTACTGTATAAAATAACCTCCACATAAAGGACACCTCTGTATAACAGAGACACTACCAAAGTGTCCATTATGTAGAGGCTAGTCTGTACATCAGTGGGTATGGTTATATATTCATTATTTTTATAGCGTGTTAGGTTGGAGTCCAGTCTTCACGATGAGGTCTCTATGAATCTGTCAGACGCTTTACTGGAACTGCTTGAGGACGGGTGGGAGGGGATTTCTAAAACCACACCCACATTTTGTATTCCTCCTTTGAAAGGAGGTGTGGCCAAACTGGAGATTAACTCAAAGGATTGTATAGCTTGGCACACTCTGATACACTATTACAACTTGAAGGTATCAACTGATTAACCATCATCATTATCATCATCATCATTATTATTATTATCATTATTATTATTATTATTATTATTATTATTATTATTATTGTTGTTGTTATTATTGTTATTCATAGAATGGTTCTAAAGTCTGTGAGAAACCTTACAATCGTCTCTCCTCCTCTTTCAGTATTCCAATGGATAATGCCACACCTCCAAAGAAGGTATGTTTTGTGTTACTATGACAAAAAAGACCACGCCTCCTTGTAGACGTTACTGAATGTCATTCATCGGACAGAGAAGGCATTTGCTAGTTGCCGTAAATATTCATCTGATTTGAAGTTCAGGTCCTTGATAGCTCAGGGGTTCAAGTAAGGATTAGCATCAAATCCTTATTCATCTTAAATTCCAACTTTTCGTTATACATGTACATGTACATGTATTTGTTAGTTCTATATATTAAAGAATGTTACTAATTTTGAATTAATGACCATTACTCATTATTAATAGTTATTAATAACACATTCTATCTTATAGTTTACATCATTTGTCTGACTGGATGAAACTATTAGTGAACCATCCTACTTTAATTAATGACTTGTATCTACCATCTTCGTTCATTAATTCAACAAGTAATTAATATTCATAGGTGGGTGTGGTCACCATTAATTGGTTATAGGGTTTAGGCCAGTGATCCTCTGTCTGGATAGACTCTCCTTCATCCCTCCAGTTGATCCGGTAGAGCTGCCCTCAAGTTATTATGAACACATTAATAGCTACTCCTCTAACTGAAGGAAAGGGAAACCATTTTTATTGCATCAATAATATTATTGTTCATTTATCATCATTATTCATTATTCATTATTCATTATTTCATTTCATTGTTTAAAGTTTTATATTATTACATTTATTGGAATTTGAGTTTTCCCGCAATTAATTTTATAGTCACGTGATGCCGAACCCCACCCACTCTGGCCTCTTTCTTTTATTCACGTGTATTGTTGAAGGAGAAGGCCTAAGGTAAAATCTTCATAAATCTTTTATAATATTTATTACTAATACTCCATTATCCCTTGTCTGGTTCTATAGTTGCAGCATTTCAAGATGGTCCGTCCACTTAAAACAATAGAAACGGTAAAGAAGAGAAGGAAGCACTTCATTAGGTTCCAGAGTGACAGGTTCCTCCGGGTCAAGGTAACCATTGATTCTTAGTAAAGTGAAGTGTATCCTCTCTCAGCCCAGCTGGAGGAAGCCTAAAGGTATTGACAATCGCGTGAGGCGTAAGTACAAAGGAGCTCGTAAGATGCCAAACGTTGGGTATGGGTCAAACAGGAAGACGAAGCACAGACTACCTAATGGGTTTTACAAGTTCACAGTGAACCATGCTAAAGTGAGCGATATCAGTGACCACACCCACTAATTAATATTGATAGGAGCTGGATATTCTAATGATGTCCAACAGACGTTATGCAGCTGAAATAGCTCACCGTGTCTCTGCAAGGAAGCGGAAGACTATAGTCAGAAGAGCAGCTCAACTGAATATAAGAGTATTGAATCCAGACGCCAGGTTACGTACACAGGAGAATGAATAACAACAAACGTTTGTTCATTGACGATATTGTTGTTGTTGTTTTGTTAAAATGAATAATTTTACATTCTATAATCTCAACCTTGTGAAATAATTGGATCAAAGTGTTCATGTACGTGAAGGCGTGGTCTATTAATGCTCTATAGTCTTCTGGTTATTTCAACATTGATACATGTTAATTAAAATAACAAAACTAATATTGGCTGTTTGATGTTCCAAACTAATTGATGATCAATTAATTGTTGTAAATGATTTCAACGTAGCTTTGCTCCTCAGTGATGGAGTCGAAGTTAATAGGATTAAGTACACTGACCTAAAGATACATACAATTTACTGATTGAAGTAAACCTCACATTATTAATGGAATGATACCATCACTATCATGGACTATTGTACAAGGCCTTTGGCCAAATTTTACTGAAATTGAAAAAGGAGAGAATTTTTCATTTTTGTAATTTTTTCTAATGCATACACATGTACTTATGCTGTGTAGAAAGTTTAAGCCAATTCGCCTTTAATTTTTCAAGTTTTGCCCATTTTTTAAATGCCCAAAATTCTGAAAAATACCCAAGGCTATAGTTCATGATTTTTTCTAAAAAATGGGTCTGAAATTTCTCCTAATTTTTATTACATTTTCTGATATAAATTGATGTCCTTATGCTGTGTAGAAAGTTTCAGCTGATTCCAACTTCAATTTTTTGAGTTACGGCCATTTTAAGAAAACGTCAAAAATCTAAATAATACCCAAGGCTATAGCCCATCGTTTTTTCCAAAAAATGGCTCCAAAATCACCCCAAATTTTTATTAAATTTTCTGATACATATTGATGTCCTAATGTTGTGTAGAAAGTTTCAGCTGATTCCGACTTCAATTTTTTGAGTTACAGCCATTTTAAGAAAACATCAAAAATCTAAAAAATACCCAAGGCTATAGCCCATGGTTTTTTCCAAAAAATGGCTCCGAAATCACCCCAAATTTTTATTAAATTTTCTGATGCATATTGAAGTCCTTATGCTGTCTAGAAAGTTTGAGCTGATTCCGACTTCAATTTTTTGAGTTATGGCCATTTTAAGAAAACATCAAAAATCTAAAAAAATACCCAAGGCTATAGCCCATGGTTTTTTTTCAAAAAATGGCTCCGAAATCACCCCAAATTTTTATTAAATTTTCTGATACATATTGATGTCCTAATGTTGTGTAGAAAGTTTCAGCTGATTCCGACTTCAATTTTTTGAGTTACGGCCATTTTAAGAAAACGTCAAAAATCTACAAAATACCCAAGGCTATAGCCCATCGTTTTTTCCAAAAAATGGCTCCAAAATCACCCCAAATTTTTATTAAATTTTCTGATACATATTGATGTCCTAATGTTGTGTAGAAAGTTTCAGCTGATTCCGACTTCAATTTTTTGAGTTACAGCCATTTTAAGAAAACGTCAAAAATCTAAAAAATACCCAAGGCTATAGCCCATGGTTTTTTCCAAAAAATGGCTCCGAAATCACCCCAAATTTTTATTAAATTTTCTGATACATATTGATGTCCTTATGCTGTCTAGAAAGTTTGAGCTGATTCCGACTTCAATTTTTTGAGTTATGGCCATTTTAAGAAAACATCAAAAATCTAAAAAAATACCCAAGGCTATAGCCCATGGTTTTTTTTCAAAAAATGGCTCCGAAATCACCCCAAATTTTTATTAAATTTTCTGATACATATTGATGTCCTAATGTTGTGTAGAAAGTTTCAGCTTATTCCGACTTCAATTTTTCGAGTCACGGCCATTTTAAGAAAACGCCAAAAATCTGAAAAATACCCAAGGCTATAGCCCATGGTTTTTTTTTTAAATGGCTCCGAAATCAACTCAAATTTGTATTACATTTTCGGATACATATTGATGTCCTTATGCTGTGTAGAAAGTTTGAGCTGATTCCGACCTCAAATTTTCAAGTTACGACCATTTTTTTTAATGCCAAAATTCTCAAGGCTATTATAGCCCATGGTTTTTTCTAAAAATTGGCTCCAAAATTTCTCCTAATTTTTATTACATTTTCTGATATACATTGATGTCCTTGTGCTGTGTAGAAAGTTTGAGCTGATTCCGACTTTAATTTTTCAAGTTACAACCATTTTTTTAAATGCCAAAATTCTGAAAAATACCCAAGGTTATATAGTCCATGGTTTTATCCAAAAAATGGCTCCAAAATCAACTCAAATTTTTATTATATTTTCCAATACATATTGATGTCCTTATGCTGTGTAGAAAGTTTGAGCTGATTCCAATTTCAAATTTTCAAGTTACGACCATTTTAAGAAAATGCCAAAATTCTGAAAAATACCCAAAGCTATGGCCCATGGTTTTTTTCAAAAAATGGCTCAAAAATCATCCCCAAATTTTATTACATTTTTTGATACATATACTAATGTTCTTACTCGTCTCATTGTCATTGACATTTCAGTTACTTCATTTTCCAATTCTTTGATTCTTGCTTGTAGTTTTGCTGTCGTTTCCTTTTTATTCATTTGTGTATTTTCCTCATCATTTGAACTGATATTGTTTGAATGTCCTTCAGTCTCACTTTTAGCAAAATAACGATCCCCAATGTATATTAATAGCAACTAGCAACAAAAACAACAATAAAAAACAATTAATAATTATTAAACTTACCAGGGGTATGAATATCATTGCTAGAAACAGTGTTGGTTGGAGTATTAGTGTTACTGGTATCAAAACTGAATTTATCTCATGATCAAGTGTAAATTGAATCACTCCATAGAGTACCATGAAGATACTGTTGGTATATATAATGACTGAGGTTTGTTTGGCTTCGTTGAGTGCTGAGACTTCAACTCTTCTTGTGTGATAAACAAAGAAGATACACATCAACTGAAGGAATGATCTGTAGCTCAATGATGTGGCCACTATAATCTTGTTCCTTGTACATTCAAAGTAATATTCCTTCACTACTGTGCTGTTCTATTAGAGAATGACTGGGGAATGAATAGTAGTAGTACGAGTCTCACCTCAGTGATTATTTGTCCATCATAAAGTATTTTAGCATTAATTCTAGTTTGAGGATTAACTGCTTCAACAAATATAATAAAGACATCAATTATTGATAGTATCAGTATTATGAGATACAGCATCCAATCTTTAACATTCTGTGAAGTAGATGAGGCTGTGATTGGATGAACTGTAACTGACTTTATTTTCATTGTTAAAAGTGTAATATACCCTCCAAGCTTTGGCCATTATAACTGTGAATGAGAGCATGTACCCGATAGAAAAAACCCAAACTCTGAACTATAAATAAACAAACAAATAAATAAATAAATAAACAAGGACCTACATTGCATAGAACTGATTGTTGCAGTGTTTCATTGAAGCCACTGAATGAGCTAGTGTACAGTGGGCCAGTGGAGTATAGCACAGTGCAGCCAAAGAGAAGGACTACATTTATTTTAACATTGGACAGTTTAGTGACCCTGAGGGAGAAGGAATGCATTAGATACTGTCAATGAAGACATGTTGAGGCTGTTGGTTACTTTTCCTTTCTGCAGCAAGTGTTAATGAACAAGCATCCACCAGCAAAAATAATTCCAAAAAAGGTCAAAACGCTAAAGAGTATTCTCAGAGCTGGTGCAAGTACAACAATTCTCTCAGTTGGATACCCATCATAAGGAATACCTACAACAACAACAACGATGATGATGATGATGATGTGATGACACTTACGTCCCCATATTCTGTAAACACTTTGTATAAAGTTAATGTTACTGCTATTAGTGATGTCATCGTGACTCGTTCTTATAACTGGTACCTTCACCAGCTCTCCATCTATTCATGAAAAATTAATTCTTTGCTTGTGCATTAATAATTTACTGTAGTTTATTCTATACTGAAATGTAATTATGCTATTAGTGTCTCTGCCTCTGTCTTCATTGAATTCAAAAGGACCCTGCAATACAGTAACAGTATACAGTATAAGTGAATGGGTGATTCCTTACTGTTATTCCATTGAAAGTCACTTGAGCAATGCTCTCCTGTAGGACACAGCCCATCTTCTTATTCTGATAGCTGAACCTTTCCAATGGAACCAGTGAGCCACTCACTGATGTGCATCCAGTATCATCACCACTAGCTGTTCTCAGTGCTGCCTCATTCAGTCCTAGGGCCAATAGCCAGAGAGTGTCATAAGCTGATCCAGAGAGGCTAGTCACTGGTTGATGAGTGTAGCCTTGTTGGCTAATATTAGCATATGCACTATGGAATAATGCAGGAGACTATTGAGGGAATGTTAATGATAATACAAGTAGATCTTACTAGGCCACTAATAGTTTGATTGTATGATTCATTGAGCAGTGGATAATAATCCTCAGGTATTATACTCAGGCTCCCATTGATCATATTCTTCATTTCTGATGGGTCACATTTAGTGTTCACCGCCCACCAGTCATCATGATAATTATCATATGTAATCCACACATACTCTGGATAGAGCATCTTATTCTTGTAACCCTTAGCAGCAATGAATGGATAGTTATCATTAGAGTATGACTATACTGACCTCACATAGTATTTGATAAGCTAATGGACTGTATGTATTGATGAATATTAGTCTTTGAACAGCTCCATTTGTCTGTTAATAACAATTATCATTTTATTTATTTATTGATTACTAACCCAATTAAAGAAGTTCCTGTAATTGTTATTATTATTATTTGTGAGCAATATTGATGAATCAATGTTAATTTCATTATTGGTAAACAGTTCATTCAATTGTTGTGTTATCTAAAAGTAAAAGAACAACAATCCGCACAGTGAAGACCTACACCATCAGCACCATTTAGCACTCATTTACAATGCAAACATGCTAGAACAAGTTATAGTTCATAAAATACTAAAGGAAACTGTTGCAACCATTGTGCATTCAGTAGGATGATTCTGTATATACATGCAGAATATGAATGTGACTAACTACAGTAAAGTAGACATTGTCTTCAGTTAAAACTGCAAACTGCCTCCACTCCATTTCTACTGCTAGACTAACTAAAGATGAAGCAATGAACTGGAATGACCCCACTGATTGGAAGAAGCTCTTACACACAGTCTGATGACACAAACTGCTTGAGGAAGATGCAAACTCAATCTATTGGAAGAGAGAGAGAGCACTGATGCAGTCCATTAAAAACAATGTATCATGCAAGTATCTATATCCTTTACTTGAGGTATACTCCAATAGTGACTGATGTCAGCTACTGGCTGAGTAGCTATGTTGCATCCACAGCCAATCAATGATAAATAAGTGAACTTTGATTTATTCAGAAACTGATCCATAAAAACATCAACAGATCTCTTCCATTGACACTAAATAATAAAATCATCATCATTAAATGTGATGTAATCCTGTTTCTTTACCTTGGAGTCCATTACTTCACCATAAGAGAGTGTATAGTTGGTAAGAATGTCTTCATTCTTGTTAATTTCATCCAGTGCATAGTCAATGATTGGTAGAGCACCAGAGCTAAGGAAGGGCCCAGTGGCTGTAGTTATGTAAGAGAAATAAATATCCTTTGGTCTTGAGTCCAGGGATAGAGCAAGAGAGAGAGAAGAGAGTAGAACCGCAGCAAGAAACATCATGATCAAGAGTTGCTGTGGAGTTTAATTAATTACTGCTCATAATAATGAATATTAATGAGGTGAACATGAATAAAACCAAACAGATAATTAAAGCACAGATATTTATTAATAATTTATTATTATTATTTATTATTTATTAACAAGTTTGCTTTCAAATAGTCCATTTATTTAGTTGCAGCTGTTGTCTCGTTTGGAACGGACGAAAAATATAACATCATTTTTTCTCCAGGAGTCCAAAACTAGGAGAAAGAAGAGCAATAGTTATTAATAGCCATTAACAGTTATTAATGGTTATTAATGATTGTGTAGTTATTAATAGTTACAACTTACATTCTCACAGATTTGTTTCAAACTTGTAGACTCAGACAGTTTCTATTAAAAATACAAAAATAGTTGTTATATAATTGCCCGTTGCCCTGCCCACCCACTGTACTTACTATATATTCATCAGATCCCAGCTGAGTTGATATACTGAAGGAACCTATTAATAATAATAATAATAATAATAATAATAATAATAATAATAGTTCATATTAAAAGTGCTAGTGTCACTGCCTGTATTATATCAAAAAGGGTAATTCCCTCCTTTTCAATTTGGCCCGAGACCACATACTATAGTACAGGGACTTTCGTCCAATTTTGGAACAACTTTAGAAATTACAAAAAATCCAAATCTGATCAAAATGAGTTCAAACTTTCTACGCAACATAAGAACATGTATATAAGTCTTTTTGCTTGTACAGGGTATTTTTGCAGCTTCATAAAATAATTATTTATAAAAATTTTACTGACAAGAGGCACAGTGCTATGCTAAAAAACTTGATTATTATCATTATTACTATTAATAATGATGATTATTACCTTTATTATCATTATTATTATCATTGATTGATGAATCTGGGCTTTGGACCAATGACAGGAACTTGGTAATATGAGCAACTAGAGTAAATCAGTATACTCTTAGTATAACTCAGTATATTGACTGACCAGTGGCACCAGGTGAAGTTGCTAAATTACGAATATCCAAAGATGCAACAGAATCATCTGAAGGGTGTGGCCTCAACTGAAACTCAAGACGCACCTATTAATAAACTAATATAAGCCCATCCCTCTAATTAATACTAGCCCATCCCTCTAATTAATAAAAACCACTCCCCCTAATTACCTCTTTCTCTTCCTCTTGACTGGTGGAGGTATTCTCAATCAGTTCAACTTCTTCATCTGATAATAATGAACTTATTTAACCTCTCCCTCCCTCCCTCCCTCTCCCTCCCTCCTTCCCTCTCCCTCCCTCCCTCCCTTCCTCCCTCTCTCTCCCTCCCTCCCTCCCTCCCTCCCCTTCCTCTCCCTCTTCCCCTTCCTCCCTCCCTCTCCCTTCCTCTCCCTCTCCCCCTCCCTCCCTCCCTCCCCTCCCTCTCCCTCTCCCCTTCCTCCCTTTTTCTTATACCGTTAGTTTCTTGTTGCTGTATTTTTTGTACTTTCGTGTTTGGCGATGGAGTATTACTGACTGAAGCAACAGTACTGGGGACATCTAATAATAATAATAATAAATAATAATAATAATAATAATAATAATAATAATAATGTTGTGCCACCTTGTGGAGTGTCAGCTCTTCTCTAAAATAAAAAAAAAAAAAAATTAATTATTGACTTCTCTCTCTCTTTGTTACCTTTCTAGTTGATAAATATTGCAATGACTGGTGGAATGTTAGTCTCGGCTTATCCTATGAAGTAAGGAGT